AGTTACGACTTTTTGCATTTCAGCCGCGATGTTTGTTACGTCTTTTTGCATTTTAGGTGGCGATATGTACGTACATACGTACATATGTATGTAATGATAAGTAGAGCATATGTATCGATTATCGAGCGCACCAAAGGGTTAAAACAGCAACACTGGTTGCAAATACAATATCATTTATCGCCATACTACGAATCATACCCGCAATTGCACATCTTTATATGTATATACTTATGTATGTACGTTTCACTTTCATTTATTTTTTCTTTTCATATTTTGCTACCGTTAAACGCACTTCATTGTTTGACTCAATGCTTTAGTTTTATTTATTTGCTATGCATGCGTAAAGTGCGAATTCAACACATGTTTTACGTTTGTTTGCGCGTTTGTAAGTGCTGCTTTACTTTTTTAATACATGTCATTTTTTCGTTCATAACATTTGCATATATGTATTTAATTTACGACTGTCTGACAGATTGTTATGTTGTTGCAATTCTGATTTATTTTTATGGTAGTTCTTTTTTCGCAATAATTATATTTTTGCAATATTATTTATGTATGTACGAGCCACTCTTGAAGAGCTATTTCATGACAAAAATAAATTTGGAGTTTTATCTTTGCTTACCAAGGAACGATCGCTTTCAGATTTTTTATTGTTTTTTTTTTTTTAATAATTTGGATGAAACAAGAAACCGATTGTGGCTGATAACGATAGATTGTACCACTACCCATATTTTATGTTTGGTTATTTTATAGTGGGTTATGTCATGTTATGTTATGTTATATTACTTTACTTTATTGTTTTGTTATGCTATTGCTATGTTATATTATTTTTATTTTACGTTATTCGCATGAAACCTACTGCTACATAATGATATACTCTATTACTATTTTATTTATTTTATTTAATTATTTATTTATTACCACTTCTTAGAGTCTAGTTCAAAAAAGAAAGGAAACACTTAAACATAGTATTACATTGATTAAAAATAGGTACATAAGTACCAATAATTTCAACATGGGGTGATCCGGCAAGGTTTATTAATTAATATTTGCTTTTTTCCTTTCGTTTGCTTTTACTTAATAGTTACCCCCTTCGAGTTGTAATATCCTTTTTCCAATAGACATAAACTGCAGTTAAGTCTTGGTGGAAATCAACTATGACTTTTCGATTTTTTTTCCGAAAGGCCAAAAGTGTTTCATTTCTATAAAATTTCGGCTTCTTGGCACTGCCTGCCTCAACAAATCTTTCATTGCCGTCAAACTTTACTGCACATAAGCCAAAGAAATCTGCTTTGTAGACGTGCTTGTACAGAGTAAAAGGTTTAAAAACGAAAATTGGCGCATTCACATTTTTCTTAGAGTTTGGCCATGGATCTCCTGAAATGGAGGGACGTAGGGTTTAACACCGCCTCTGAATGGCAAAATTTATTTTTTGTGAGAAGCTTATTCTTCCTATGTATGATGAGGGGAGACTGCTACCAGAAAAAACTTGGCGTTGATCGAACCAGGAAACATTATCTGTGCCCTACCACTCCCCTATAAAATGAAATCGAATATTTTTTACGACGATGGGGTTTAATATGAATACGTAGATCAACCGACGTGGACAATGACGACGAAGATGAATGCGAAGATGAAGGCAAATCTATCAAGATGAGTTCCAATACCAGGACGAATACGAATACAAATACAAACACGAATATGAAGAAGAGTACGAAGATGATTCCGAAGATGAATACAAAAACAGTACTTAAATGAATACGAAGAAAAATACAGAGATGAATTCGAACACAACAACGAACATATGTATGTAAATACGAAGAAGAATACGAGGACGAATACGAAGGGGAATACGAAGGCGAAGGAGATGAATTCCAAGTCAAATACGACGACAAGTCGAAGATGGATATGAAGAAGAATATTGCGAAGACTGTGCAGATTCGATCCAAAGAAGAATACGGAGACAGCGGCTAAACAGAATACTAAGATCAATGCAAAGACGAATGCTATATAAAGACAGCGATTAAAACGTAGGCGAAAACATTTTCGGAACTCTTAAAAAAACTATAAAAGCGGAGTAACTGTCACTCTGTCCTATATACACTGGTGGCTGAAATAATAGCCTCGCCTTGTCTTGACCAGTTTTGGCTATATTTCTTTGGTTTATTTAATGTTTAATATTTTTTTTTATAAAATTATACAAAAAACACCAAATGAATCCACATTTCAAACTTTGTACTAAAATCAAACAAATTTTCACCGAAATTTTAAACTTTTTATTCATATATATTTTTTTTGTTTTTATATTTCTTTAGTTTTTTTAACGAATACTAGTTTTTTATAAATCCACATTTCAAACTTTGTACAAAAATTATAAAAATTGAATACATTTTCACCAAAGTTTCAAAATTTTTATTGAGATTTTATAGCCCATTCAATTTTATATAATAATACTATTATATTGTATAATAAAGTGCAAGTTTACAAAAGGCTACAAAATACCTGGCAGCCATGTCTGCCACCAGTATATGTAATGTGATAATTTTTCAGCAAAAAGAGTCATTAATCCATTGAAGCCATTTATGTTTCTAAGTATGTACTATTTTGTATACAGCTTCCTACTAGACTTATGGTGATTTCGTTTCTTCCTAAAAAAGTTGCCTTCGACAGTGCAAAATGTATTTGAGGCATGTTTTTGCCTCCTGTCTTTGTCTAGCTCACGCATTTCATAATATTGCCGTTTTAAGCAACCATCTGACTTTCAGGGCAACCATCTCCCATGACAAAGCTTCAAAGGGCAGAGAATGTGCCTTTCTTGCCTTACAAAATTTTCTCACAGTTTGCCTTTATTTTAGAATCGAACACAAAAAGAGAAAGGGGCAATCAAAAGGCGACATTTTTTGGTAGTAACGAAAACACCATTAAATAAATGCATTGGCTTTACTACCAACCTATCATTGACATGACAACATTTTACTTGTCTGAATGTGGCACAAAACAAAAACAAACAAAAAAAAAAAGAAATATCTCAAAGTACAGCAGCAAAATCAATAAAAAAACAAAACGAGCTTCAAATAGTTTGCATACCGAAACTAACCTGACATTACTATTTAAATATATATGTATCTGTATCTGCACCAGACGCCTCTCACTTTTATTTGCCGCAACCAAAGCAGCAAGTCATTTGTTCAAATATTAAAAGTAGTTGTATTTATTGCATATACATACATATGTACATGCATACATACATATGTATGTTTGTGTATGTATGTATATTTAAATTAATATATGTACATATCTATAGTGCACATACCCATAATTAGTATACACACTAGGGTGGTTCAAAAATACACAGTGAAATTAACTTATGGGAGTTTTCTCGCTCTCACCCACAAAACCGAAGAATATAGAAAATAAGGAGACCCCTATTTTTTTATTTTGCAATCGGTTTTATATAGGCGGAAATAAATAGTTTCTTAAAATTGCTATGAAATTGCTAAAAAAACAAGAAAATTTCACTTTTGAAATCTTCAAAAATTAAATTATGATATATATTTAACTCTAAATTTTTACTATTTTTTACCCGCTTTCAAAAAAGGAGGAGGTTATCAGTTCGTCGGAATTTTATTTTTTTTATTTTTTTTTATGTATGTTACCGTATAACTTTTTGACCACGTCAACCGATTTCGATAATTCTTTCCTTCTGCATCGGAAAAGTAGTGTCTCAGAGGTGGTCCCATACTAATCTGGTTAAGATCCGATCAGCGGATCATGAGATATATATATATATATTTTTTTTTTATAAGAGTCGGTTTTTTTTTTGCTAAAAATTACTTGTTTCATAACGTCAGTGATGTGGTTCCGAACACGTTAAGTAACACACTCTGGCATACAAGAGATAATATTATAGGTTATGAAAAAGTATTTATTTGTGTTTTGAGGGTCTATGAGGGAAAATAATTTTATTCGTTCAAAATATATTTGTTTTTAACGATTTTATAGCAATTATGTGAAAAAGTGTATGTATTATATACATGCATATGTGGAAAGCTTCAAAGCCCCGCCGAAACGCTTAAATATTAACCGGTTTCAAAATAAAAAATACGTATTTTCGTATTTCGATATTTCTGGAAAGAAAAACTTTGGAATTCCCTAATGTGCACACATTTATAGCATACATTAGGGTGATTCAGAATTTTTTTTTTTATCGAAAAATGACTTTTGACGCTTTTTGTAGAGTGTTCAATTCTCTATAAAAATAAAAATGTTTCGATAAGCCAACTCGGTTAGAAGTTATTCGAGGTCAAAGTTGAAAGAATGGTGAATTCGACTTTGACCTCGAATAACTTTTGTACCGAATTGACTTATCGAAAAATGACTTTAGACCTTTTTTGTATATGTTCAATTTTCTACAAAAATACTCCAAGATCTTTACAGTACAACGTAGCGTTCGTTAAATATAAAAACCAGAAGTTAAAAATTAAAAATAATTTTTCCTGTTTCATTCTTATGGGAAATCGAAAAGTAGGATGCGTACATTCTTAATATTAATATTAAGGGCTCATATTTTCTGAGACTTATTTTGGCGTCTAAATGAAGCTTTTGAGCATGGTTTCGAGGAATAAAATATTTTTTTTTTCTGAATCACCCTAATATACATATATACATATGCACATATAGTGAAATACATATAACCAACAAGCTAGTCTGCTTAAGTTGTCTGGTAAGCTAAACCGCCAAGCTGCGACTCAAATTTGCAAGCTCATGAATGCGATCATTACAAGTTGTCCAAGTTGTGCTAATACGCTGCGCCGCTATTCATTCAGTTGTTCGCGAGCGTTTAAACTAGTTGGACGGACCAACTAAAATTGTTTTGCAAATTGTTTCATAAACATAACTGCCCGAGTAAAATTGCGAATTTTGTTTTGCTTTTTTGTTTTTGTTTTCATTTGAGTTGTACGCTAAACGGAAAAATATAAAAGCAAATTACATACATAAATATCAAGGAAAATTATAGGTATTAAAAAAACAACAACGACAATCATAAATACAAGGCATTCAGTTGAAGGCAATCTTACAAATAAATAAACACCACAAATAAAAGAAACCTTCATAATGACAACAAAACCGACCAGCTTTTGCTACAAATTCACTTTTGTTTGGATAGCTGTTGTGTTGTTGTTGGTATTGCAATGTTGTAACTGCGCTAACGGCTCGCCGATGTTGTACAAGAAAAATCCACAACACAAATATGAAGCAGGTGATGGAGAAGTATTTTCAATGATGTTTTAATTGAAATGCACTTATGTAGTTCTTTGATTAATTTGCTTCAAGTTTGCTGAGTTTTAATACAAAATTTTATAAATATTATAATTACATGCATAAATTATTTTCCGCAAAAATAATAAAGTAATTAAAGAAATAATGAAAGCAGCACAAAAAACAGACCCCGCTAAACTTGAATCTGCCTTTCGGTTTCTCTTCAGGAACCGAGTTTTATATGTACTTATTGGCATCGGAAAAGCTTTGTGCACCTTGTATGTATAGTTTTTTTAGACGGCTTTTTGTTGAGCAACACGAAAAATCTGTTTTTTTTCTTTATGGGCGAGCTTTCGTGAATAATATAAAAATAATCGTAAAAACTTGTTGTGGCTGTAATCGAATAGCACCCAAAATAAAGAGGCCAAAAATCAACCAATTCAGATAGGCGCTTAAAATCGTATCCACATGCGTCTTAGAACCTTAAAAGACATTGGTTTGAAAATCAGCGAAATCGGCCCACAACCACACCCATGAAATTTTTTAGTGCAAAGTGCAGAAAAAGTAGCAGTTTCGAATAAAATCAATTCCCCTGTTCCAGTTAACAAATATTACATAATAATAGAAAAACTAAACAAGTAAGAAAGTGTAAGTTCGGGCGGAGCCGAACATTAAATACCCGGCGCAAGTATTAAATATATGTTTTGTCACCCTTCCGAAACCTTCCGCTAGATGGTAAGCCGAGGTGTATCAATTTTGAGTAAATTAGCGTCCTTCAATTTCGAAATATTGAAGTTTCAAGCATTTCTTAAATTTACCGTTATATGAGAATCGGCCGTTATTTTAGTCCGATTTCAATAATTTTCAACGTTTTGCTTACACGTGGCAAGTACAATAACCATACCGAGTTTGGTACAAATTGGTAGAACGGTTAC